GGGGCTGGCTGGCATGTGGTGCTGGGGGATTGAACCGCAGTCCCTGTGCTTTGCTGAGCTTGTTCCAAGTAGGTGCTTTAGACCACTGAGCCATCTCACCAGCCCCCCCAGTACTTCTTTTGAAAGCCTTACAAAATGTTTTTTAAAAACCATAAGCATACAGAACTTTGTGAATAAATGCAGTGCAAAACCAAAAAGCCTCATGTGTTAAATATCCAAACTTTAAGGTACATTTAATGGATACATTTCAGTACGTGCTACTATTGCTAAGGGTTACTGCTGTAGGTAACATGATTCAAATGCAAGAAGCCCTCAGAATTGCACTAAATTAAAATAATTTAAATGAAGCAGAGAAAGCAGTCATACAAGGTCTAAAACTTTCACTTCTAAACAAAGGCAAGTTATTTCTCTGCTAATTCTTCAGGAACTAACAGTTCTCAACAGTTCTCAGAAGCGTTACGCTCTGACTTACACACTTATACGAAATGATTCCAAAGGTTAGGCATATACTACAGGGCTTAGTTTCCAGAAGCATTTTTATCATATGCTGAGTGGGCTTGTTAAAAATCAAGTTGAAGAAGTTCAGTGTATCAGCAGAGGGGAGAGAGAGGAAAACATGGAAATTCAAACAGCCAATTACACAAATCAAATGTTCAAAATGAGGCAAGTGTTTTACAAAAAGAATGTGAGGGAACCAGAAGCCTAAATGAGAGGACGATGTCAGTTCCCAAGATAACGTCTGAATGCACTGCAGGGACTTAAGAAGTGCTAGAAATGAATGCAATTCAATAAAGCAAAAAGCCTATGAATTGAGATAATAATTACTGCTGAGAAACTTTCTATTTCAGTTCACCTCTACATTGATTAAAGCCAATTTGTCTAAATATTACATGTCATCTGACAAAGGCAGACCAGCTAAAGACTGGGGCCAGATCTCACTGTACCAAGCACCTGGTTAGTGCCTCCTCAGGTAAACAGATGTTCTCCTTTGCTGTCCTTCTTGCTAGAATGATGTACCCCTCTTACCCCAACACAGTGAGTCCTGAGATGACCCCAAGTCCAAGCTGACAGGAAACCTGCTCACAGTGAACCGGGCTGCTGGAGAGCCAAACAGCTGGGTGGTTTGCAATAAAATCTTCCCAAGCTCTCTGTACCCGAGTGCTTTGTGGGGTGTCAGCTGGGGTACCAGCAGCTGGTGCTACCCCCGAGAGTCAGGACCAGAGCTCTGAGAGCATCCCTCAGTCTCTCTAGTCAGCTTCACACCAGGGCACAGGCCCCAAGAGCGTGCTAACATTTGTTTGACACGCTGGTGCCCTGAAAGAACCATGGAGCCCCAGCAGGGCTGCCCACAGCTGGAGCCAGCTGGTATGGGACTTGACAGCAGGGTCCACCTGGAAGTCCCCAGGCCTGGGACACACAGCAGCTTCTTGTGGCTTAGGGAGACCAGAAAACTCCAGCTGCCTCACATGCAACCTAACCCTGGTCAGGCAGTATTTTCCTAAGGCCTGCAAAAAAGCAAGAGTAAAAATGCAGCGGGGCCTCCTGGCTGTAACCAGCTGTGCCCGCACCAGCTTTGTGACAGTAGGTACACCCATCACAGTGTCTCCTTGAAACGGCCCGTCACCATCAGCCTAAGCCACCTGACAACCTGCTGCTAAGAGTGCAAAAAAGATTTCATTTTGTGACTCTGAAATGGTTATTTGACACGAAAATCTTTAAATACATATGGACGTGTGACTGCACATGCATGTGTATTTTTTTATCATTTTTAGGAAACTCAAAGATAACTAATCAGACACTCATGGCTGACAAATTAGGAGCCTTCATATCACAGCGCTCTTCAATTTCAAAAGGATTCATTTTAGGACTCCTTAAAATATCAAGCCCTGTTCCATATTTAGATTCCTTTTGGAAATGGAAACTGTGCAGGATTTTTTAAAAGAATTTGGTTTTTAATTTACAGAAGAGTCAAAAGCACATACCCTACTTCAAACAAAAACAAATCAAATTGCCTGGAATATTTGTAACAAAAATAGTATTTTGTGTAAATATAATGTATGCTTTAATTTATAAATATGAGCGTACAAAACCAAATTCGTCCATCTAGCCAGGTTTATGTTAAGAACTAGTGCTGGTATTTTGTCGACCCTATAAATATATTTTAAAACCTATTTCATGTCAATATTTATGTGACCTTTTTGAAGAGTTTTTTGTTGTTGTTGTTGTTATTTTTTGTTTTTTGGGTTTTTTGGGGTTTTTTTTTTTGCGGAACTAGGGATTGAACTCAGGCCCTTTTGCTTGCCAGGGAACAGGGAAGCGCTTATTCTACTGAGCCATCAGCCCAGCCCAACTACTCTATCACTGAGCTACATCTCAAGGCCTAAAATTAATATATAGCATAAAGTTAATAAAGTTGGCAATTAAAAAAAATAAACAATAAACCCAACGAGTCCCTGAAAAGAAATATAGTCCATATATTCTTCATATCATATTGTTAAATAGAGATTTTTAAACCTGTGTTGTTTGCAGCTGTAGGTCAGCTTCCTTTTTCAATGTTGAAGATAGAAGAACCCAGGCCCTCATGCTTGACAGGCAAGTGGCCTACCACTGAGCCACATCGATAGCCCTTTGGTCAGCTCTTAAAGAAAAATTTTAAGTGGAGATAAAGGTCATGCTCTCCAAGTACAAGTATGGCTAAGTGAGCTAAAGAGCAACATAAAAGCTTATCCTACAGATGTGGTGAAGTGCTGTCCCCTCTGATCAAAGGCAAGAGAGACAGAAGGCTCTGGAGGACGGAAGGAAGAGAAGGCAATGTGGGATACTTCCAGATTTGTCTAGTTTTCTCTGGCTGTTTTTGTCTGCCAAATATCATCCTGCAGTTCCACAGCAATCCTACAGGAGGCAGCATTTACAATACAATACAGCACACTTGGCAGTATCTCTAGAAACATCCACAGGCCAAGCCTCGAAGGCCCCCTGGCATTAGCTTTTAAGACAGTCATTTGGATAACTTTCAGAGGCTTTCTGTGCTTGGGAAATAAGATAGCAGCTAATTTATTCATTTTAATTAACACCAGCTCAGGAAATTCTTTAAAGAACAAAGAGGTTATTCTTAATCCTAAAGAGACAACAGGTCACTGATTTCATAAACTCAACTTCCTCTAATACCTCATTTTCCTCTTCGTGCTCCAATATGGCCTGCAGGAATGCTCTCCGCTCATGGCTTGAAGATTTCTGATCGAACATGCCAGCCTGGATAACTTTCTGATCTACGTTCAGCTTGTATTTTGCAGCTGCAAGAATCTTTTCCTCCACGCTGTTGACGGTGCAGAGTCTCAGCACCCGGACCTCGTTCTGTTGACCGATGCGGTGCGCCCGGTCTTGTGCCTGCAGATCCTGTTTGCAAAAGCAACACACTGTGAGGTCTGCGGTGCCTGGATTAGCACAGCAAACAAGTCCTGGCCCAAGAGGCACATGTAGGAAGGCTATTTAATCCTCCTTCGCTAAGGTAAGATCTGGCTTACATTTTAAAAATATACAAGTTACTTTCTTTGGAAAAAATTCAAGGTCATCCCTAGTTGAAGAAGCTTGGTTTAAATTAACCGAGCCAACTGAAATAACATCTCTGGTTTTGACACCCAGGTCTCAAAATATTTTTAGTTGCCCATAGACTTACCATTGAAATTGGTCTGTACCTACAACAAAAGCTAGTATTTCTGATGTCAGAATTATGGGTTAGACACTACCTACAACTACTTCTAAGCTATAAGAAGCACCTTCTTTTCATGTTGTATTAACAACGATTTTTACAATTACGTCGATGGTACAGATATACATTATACACATAGGCACATAGCCTACATCATATATAACACATATATGAGAGAGACTGACAGACAGATGGACAGAGAGATAGAGGCTGCTCACTGGCCAACATCCTGGGACCAAATTCTATCAAATGCTCAATCTAAGGGGCCAGCAGTATAGCTCAGCAGACTAAGTGCTTGCTTAGGTAGGTACGGGGGCCAGGGTTCGATCCTTGGCACAGCATGCTGTGTGGGCCCCACCCCTGGGCATGATGAGCTGGCAATGGAATCCACGCATGGTGGCGCATGCCTGTAATCCCAGCACTAGGGAGGCAGAAATCAGGAGTATCACTACGAGTCCAAGCTGCATAGCGAGACCCTGCACAAAAAACAAAAGAAAACAAAACAAAAACTTAAGAAAAAATGCTTAATCTTTAATTTGGAAAGTGAAAAGGATTGCTTTTGGGGTACTAATCTGGTGACATTTGAAGATAGAAATTTGGCATGATGAACCAAAATGTTAAAAAATTAGCTCTGGCACTGATTTAGAAATTCCACTTTTATAGGCCAGCGAGATAGCTCAGCAGTCTAAAGTGCCTGCTTAGGCAAGTTTAGTCAGGTACAGGGGCCCTTAGTTCAATCCCCAGTACCACATGCTGTGCTAGCCCCACCCTCAGGGCAGGGCTGAGCTCGCCAAAAAAAAAGAAAAAAAATTTCTTTCACCTCTAGAAATCTATCCTAAAGAAACAATCAAGGATACACAAAAATTTTTTGGTATTACTGGGGTGTGTGTGTGTGTGTGTGTGTGTGTGTGTGTGTGTGTTTGTAATTCTGGGGATTGAACCAGAGCTGTGACACTAAGCCACAGCCCAGTACCCCTCATTTCATTGTAATTATGAGACAAGGTCTTGCCAAGGTGGCCATGTGCCCTGGGCAGGGCTTTAACTTGTGATCCTCCAGCCTTAGCCTCCCTGAGTGCTGGGATTACAGGCGTGCATCATCGTGGCTAGCTTACACTATAATTTTTATAAAAAGTAAACATTCAACAATTACAGATTGGTGAATTGAATTGTGGCATTCTACTTCTATACATACCAACACAGGATAATAAAAGTTACATTTTAGAGATTTAATGACACAAAACTTTAAGTGAAAACTGCAAGTTATAAATGAGATGTACACTATCTTACATTTGCATACTTATTTGCACCATGAGAGAGGTGAAGACCAAACACCGACATACAGACAATGTATGCATCTCCACTAATAAAATTAGGGGTGCTATTTCATCTTTGTTTTGCTAAAATATAGCTTCACAATTTTCCTTAAATATATTAGCCATAGATGATAGCAAACAGGGAGATGGACTTCCTGGAGGTAGGAGGAGGACCTGAGGTATGGGAAGACAGGACAGAGACAAGAGCTAGGATGCTGACCACGAACTGAATATGCCCACTGAGCATCAGCAGCACGTATGAATGCATTTTTAAAACAATGGCAATTAAAAGGGTAAAGTCTTCCATGAGATCTTTGAGCAAAATCTTCTGTAAACTTAGGAAGCAGGGCTAGGTATATGGAGCTCAGCAGCACCATGCCTGCCTGGCAAGTGCAAGGTCCTGAGTTCAATCCCTGGTACAGAAAACAAACAAACAAAACCTATGAAGCAGATTTATCTCATGTCATAGCTACCGAGTGCAAGCTTAGCACGTCCTTTTATTCACTGTGGTCTCAGTGATGGTAATTGGGCCAACGCTGATTGATTGTCTCTATATATCCCAAGCAGACACTCACTTGTTTGGTCGCTATATATACATTTAAAATATATTTGGCCAATAGTCTGTCCCCTGCATCTGGAAGTTCTAGAAATAGCCTTTGCACAGAGCTGACATGGTGAAGTTCTGAGCCCCTCCTCTGGACCAGGGAGGGTCTTAGTTAGCTGCCCAGCACAAGAAAAAGGCAGATGTCTGCCCAGGAGATTTGCTCTTGCTATAGGAGGCTTTGAAATCACATGACTGATGAGGCAAAAGTTTATTCTCAGAAGATGTTCGAGTTAGTATAAATATAGTGTGGAACCATGAACACAGCTGGGACCCATCCAATGTAGATTATTTTCTAAAGAGGAGATGGGCAATTAAAACTTCAAAAGTGGGGACTTCTAAACATCCTTGTCAGGCCTGTGACCCAACCATCTTTCTCAAGGCATCTTCAGCAGGACAGCTCGGTGATGGCCAAGATGACCGGTTCTAGGTCACTAACCTGTTCATGATCTCTGGGGAAAGGTCAGCAAACAGCTTCTACAGTGGACCCAATATTGAGACTCTAGGCTACCTGGGCCCGGAGTAGAAGTACAGCGCCTGTCCTCTGAAAACCTCGACACACAGGCTTGAATCTGGCTATATGCTCCTGAGCAAGCTATCTAGAAATGCTATGTGGATTACCTGCAGCAAGTTGTGCAAAATGCCTGGAAACTTCTCACACAGTTGCTGCTTAATAGAGTTAGTTCCCTGATGTTTCAAATGAAAATTCAGTGCTTATCCCTAACATTCCAAGGACACTGATTTCTGAAAATGAAAAGTTTCCTAACCTAACACCCATGCCTGCAGGACGTAGGAACAATTCATCAGCCTAGTTCCCTAAAGCAGATGGGAGGGAACCCAGCTCCGGCAGAAGCAAACACAGGAGTACAAGGGCCAGCACGAGGACTAGTGATCAGTCAGGTCAGAGGAACTTTGGGGCCCTCTGTTTCAGTGCCGAAAAGTCTAGCTCAGGTATAGTTAGAGGAGGAATTATAATTTTACTTTAATTCTGGTGGTTCCCCTTCAAGCACTGGTCCGAAGTGTCCTAGAAGTTTGTAACAGAGAGCAGGGAGGGAAGGAGGGGAAAAGAAAGTGGGAGAAGGAGCAAGAGGGCAAGGGGAGAAGGGGATGAGGGAGGGGGGGAAGGGAAGGAAAGGGGAAACAGAGGGGGAGAGGGAGGGAGGGAAGGAGGGAGACAGGAGGAAAGAGGGGCGGAGGGGGGGGGAGAGAAATATCTCTTTCCTCTGAGACATTAGCATCCCCAGAAACACTGATTTCCTTTGGCTCTTAGAGGTTATGCTGTGCCAGGACAGATGAAGAGGTTAGACTTGGTAGTCACGTTTAGCTCAGAAGACAAAACACAGCAAAGTCTCCATTCACCACAAACCACTACCAAAAAAGGTGCAGGGGCCAGCAGGAGGAGTGCTCCACACTCCCAGCCACACTCCTGCTGCATGCTAGATGCTCTGCACAGGCTCACAGGACAGTTACTAAGGACAATGGTGAAAAGAGCAAGAGCCAGGCCTGGTGACACAGGGCTGTAAGTCCAGCACTCTGGGAAGCAGAGGCAGGAAGATTCAGAGGTTAAGCCCTGGATGGGCAACTGAGCAAGACACTGTCTCACCATATTAAAAAAAAAAAAAAGCACATAAATAAAACAAAAGGCTAGCAATGTAGCTTATTGCAAGGCCCTGAGTATATTTCTCAAGCCTGAGTGTGGCATGGGGTAGAGATCTTTCATTGGATATGCAGTTTACCCGAACTCTAGAATGTAACATGGAATACCAAAAAACACAACATCTAAAATGTTTCCTGAATGAAGACTTGGAAGAGATAAACTGCATGCTGGTGGCTTCCCACCTTCTCAAAGTCAGGATGTTTCAATAATAATTCTTTGTTAGCGCCGTTACCTACAAAGAATGACCACGAAGTACATGCAATGCTCAGCTCAGAGTCATGAGAAGCCCCAAGGGTGGTAACCACCTGCCACCCCAGCTACTCAGGAGGCTGAGGCAGGAGGATTAGAAGCTGAAGACCAGCATGGGCAGCTCAGCAAGAAGCTATCTCAGAAAAGAAAAAGGGCTGGGAAGTGGCCCAGTGGAGCAGCATCCCTAGGTTCAATCTCTAGTACCATTAAAAAATAGCATGAAAGATCCGTGGGAATCCCTTGAAGCATCTCCAAGGATATATCTCGACCCACTAAATAAAAAATGAGCAACCCAGGGACTGGTGTGCAGCTCAGTGGCAGAGCGCTTGCTGAACATGCAGGGGGGCCCTGAGTTTGATCTCCAGCACCAGCAAACAGCCAAACAAATGCTCAGGTGTAGTGGAAGGGACACGAAGCAGGAGCGTGTAGTTTTTAAAAAGCTTCCATGTAATTCTAATGTACTCCTGAACTTGATTGCCCACTAGAAACACCTTCCTGAAGCCTTTCCCTTCCATCTGCCCAGGAGGCCCACCAGCCAGGCAGTGTTGCTGCGAGGAGGCCCAGCTGCGCGAGGGGGCCAGGGGCAGTGGCTGCAGGAGTCAGTCACACGGCAGCTGCATGTGCACTAAACTGGCTTGAATCCAATATTTGTTCTAAGAGGAACCAAATCCTGATGCCTAGCACTCTACCCACTATCTCCCCAGCAGGCAGGAAAACAATACCATAGAGGATGAATTTAATTGCCTATTTAGGTCTTCTAAGTACTCCTTCATAAGCATAACTCTATATTTACCTGGTAAACAGAGGTAAATGATAGAATGATAGATGTTCAGCAGAATGTTTTACTGATGACTTTAGGCAAAGCACACAATATAGGTTAAGTATTAGATTATTAGACCTTGAAGAAGTTATCTAACTGACGTAGCACTGAGTTTCCTTGACTGTGAAGATCCAGTTTATTAGCTATTTGAGTAAAGCAATGGACATGAAAAGGCTGACACACAGAAAGGGTCCAGTAGGTGTCAGTTCCTACTGTTCTTATTATTTGGAAACTTTTTCTTTTTTTAGCGCTGGAGACTGAAAAACAAGGCTCTGTGCATGTGAAGCTCACTTTCCACCATGAACTACATCCCCAGCCCTTGGAAAATTGTGCTTGATCTTGCACCGGGTTTAATTTTTCTCCATGGCAATGCTAGGAGATGGGGATTAAAACTCAGTAGAAAGTGAGCTTTTCTACCCCCATCTTCACCATGTGTAGGGCCCTGTACAATCTATGCCTCAAGGGACATAAGGAATCAGCCCTACTGACCCGTTGGCCTTGATTTTTGCTTTGGAAGCACCTTAGTTGCTCAGGGTTTGCCCTGCCCTCTATGTGATGAAGCTGGTCATCCCTCGGACCCTCTGCGGAGGGCGGCCCATGCCTAAGTCAGAGGTACACACCTGATGAGGGTTCCAGTCGCTGTCAAAGATGACCACTGTGTCCGCAGCCTGAAGGTTTAAGCCCAGGCCTCCGGCCCGTGTGCTCAATAGGAAAATGAAATACTGGGACCCAGGTTCATTGAATTTTTTTAGCAAAGCAGCACGATCTTCAGACTTGGTGGTGCCTGAGGGGATAAGAAAAATAAATGTGCCAATTAACTCCTGCCTAAAAATGGCAGAGAACTAGACGAAAAAGGTCTGCTTGCCTGAAAAATACATCCAGCATCCTCCTAACATCAGTGAGAAAACCACCAGGGTTCCTGTAGTTTTGGAAGGAACTTTGAACATTTTGCAATTTTAGAAAAAGATTGTTTAAATACTTGCAAGGGGCCACTTTTGCAATGTTACAAATTCTGCATTCTTATCCTAATCCAAGGCTTAATGAAAACATTTCCTGGATCTACTTCTGCGCTTTAAAATACCAAATAAATTTTTAAAACCCACCCACATGCACGTGCCTAAAACAGTTATTATAATGGCTTACAACAACCATGCTTATAGCATTAGAGCAAGGACTCACTTAAGCCGAGAGAGTGAAAACAAAAGAAAAGTTGATTTTTACTGCTTTACCATGTGGATTGCTACTGAGTATGGTACCATAAAAAGGTAAAATGTCAACGAACACTTTTAACTGTTCTTAGTAAGATCTGAGGCCATCATGATAAAAAAGAAAAAGAAAAAAGGAGTCTCTTTTAGATTGATTCTTATATTAACATCCTGCTCTGTTAGGTTCAGAGGCTGCCGAGTTACAAAGCTATCCAGTAGAGCAGAGGACCAGCCAGTGGGGCGGCTTGTACTGCAGAAAAGGAGGCTCCAAAATAGTGACTAGAGACAACACAGCGATGTTACAGGGTGGCTCATTTTGGGACCCACTTGTACTGTCCATTAGCCATTCGGTGACCTATTGTCCACTTGTCACGTATTTACTCAACTTTTCATAAAATGCATTGTGGAAGGAAAAAACACAAAAGCAAAACCAGCCAATACTCCATCTGAATATAATTCTCCAGAAAAGTACAGATGCTGAGTTCTAACAAAGGGTTCAGGCTTTTGGGAAATATACATGCTATATGATACTCCCTTACTGACTGCTAGACAAATATTATTTCTGTGTGTTGTTCTTTTTTAAAGGATGAAAATATAGCAGTAATTTATTTCAGACGATTAAAACACTTAAGTGACTTCAGCTAAAGGTATCAAGTTACGCATGAGGGCCAAGTTCCCCATCGTGGGGAATCTGTTTTTCACGTTCAGTAAAAATAACAAGCATCCTCCTGAGGAGGAAAGAAAATCAATTCCCTACATTCAGCGAATGGGGATTAGGAGCCGGGTTTTGTGGGCTCTCTTCACTTTACAAAGCAGCATTCTTGAAACTCGGTTTACTTCCTGAATTAGTTTTCATTTGGTGCACTGCCACAGTGAATTGTAGGAATTTACATTTGGAGGAGGAGCATTCGTGTGCTTTGTGAGTTGTCAAACATGTGGAAAGCTTTTTCCTTTTCCTTTCAGAACTGCCTTTCCAAGACATGAACTACTTGCTCAGGGTACCCGGGAAGACATGATTTTTCTAATGTGAAACTTTTCTCTGTATTGTCTTACCAATTGCAAAGTTCTTTTAAAATGAAACTCATGTAAACTAAATGAAAAGGCACAAAAGTAAAAATATAATAAAACAAAATTTGTAAAATGAAGAGGGGGCATCAGGCAAACTAACTGGGAACATGCCTACTTTGGAAAACACAGTCAAATGAGTTCTTGTTCCCTATGTCAACAGTTGAGGCAAAAAGACTGACCAATTTACCTGATGTTTATTTTAACTGTGTAAATGGGCTGCAAACCTGGTACATTATAAAACAAAGATATAACTCACTTTACACACAAAGCTGCAGCTTTTCTTTCTTTCTTTTTTATGCATTTGGTACAGGGTCTCACTACACAGCTTGGACTGCTGTGATCCTCCTGTTTTTGGCCTCCCCAGTGCTGGGATCACAGGAGTGTGCCACCAAGTCCAGCCTCTGTGACAGGTACAGCATGACCGTGAGTGGAGGTGGTGCTGACGCAGCATGTGATGAGCTCGAACCCCGGTCCCTGCGCTTGCCGAAGCAGGCACTCACAGTATTTCTTATTACAAAGTTCAAAACTGACTGGATTATTTCCACTGGTCAGTTTCCTAAGTCAAGATCTTTGCTGGTCAACAGCAATCTTCTCAGCATCCCTCAGGAAGACTCAAACTACCATGTACGAGTTCATCCAAAAGAAATCGCTCCTTGCAGGTGCCCAGCATTTGATGCAATTGGCACGGGCATCACTTTCAGGTCCGCTAGACTTTGAAGTACAACACAACCAATTATAAGAACAGAATTAATAGCAAGGGCAATTGTGTTGAAAATTACAGAATTTGCCAAAAGGAATATAGCGCTAGACTTTCATGATTACTAATTTTAACTGAATGTAAGCAGCTCTTGGAAAATTTCATCTTCTGGGATGAAATTTTACTACTTGCTCTCATTCAAAAATCATTTCCAGTGAAAACAAAAACAGTAACAGAATAGTAGTGAAATCCGTGCAATCTTTGCAGAAAATAATTGCTCAGCTTTCAACAGGTGATTTTTCTCCCCTGAAGTAAAAAATCTGAGGCATCAAATTCAGCAATGAAAAACCTGAAGACATTTGCCAATTTGCTGGTAGAGTCAGGATGGCATGTGTGTGTGTGTGTATGTCTGTGTATGTGTATTTTGAAGGGTGTTTACCAATATATCCATATGCATATGGACTGACTTCACTAGTTTTTTCCACTCCCAAAATGAATGGCTTTTGCTTCAGGTGGGAGAAGTCGGAACAGGCTTCTCAAGCCATCTGAAACACTTCAGGGAATTTACTTTTTCTCTTTTTCATTTAACAGTAAGGGCTCTGATAGCAGAACAGGCAGTGGCCCATTCATCTTGCTAGTTTCTAGTTATTGTTAATTAATTCAATACTTTAAGTTCAAACATGCCATCAAAATATTGTCACAGGGGCTGGGGAGATGGCTCAGTAGAATAAGTGCTTCCCTGGCAGGCGCAAGGACTTGAGTTCAATCCCCAGTTCCACAAAAAAAAAAAAAAAAAAAATTGACTATATATAGTCACAGCAGAGATGGGTACATCTCCCTAGATGTCTAAACCTGAGCTAACCTGGAATCAAAGAAATCCAAATTAGAGCACGGTTTTATCATTTATCTTTGTTTTCTCATCTGGTAAATGGGAATCATGATAGCAACACAAAAAGGAATAACAGCATCTTATTTGTTGAGGAAATAAATAATGCACCCAAAGTGCTTTACCTGGTGTTCCACATAATAATACTGTTATTAGCAATGACAATAAGGACAGCAACAGACAAAGTACTAAACAGAATCTTTTGGAGCGGCAAGAAAACATTAGTGATTTGCAACAAGAAAATCACTTAGCAGTTTTATGGATTCAAATATTCTCAGGCTATAGTCCTTAGAGGTGAGAGTCAAAGTTAGGGCCACAAAGTAGCAACTGCAGTCCTGTTGGACACCTGAGGTGGGGCTTAGAAATCCAGGTGACATAAGCCTGGCTCCCCCAGACATGAGGAGGGAGAGTGCCACCAGAGGGAGGAAGCCACTCACAGGGCAGAAGCAAGCAGGAGATGGGCCACGTGAGACAGGCGGGGGGCAATGTGGCTGTATCAGTGAACTCAAAATTAATGTTTACTTAGCCATCAATTTTCACTGACTTTAGAGGAGCAAGATAAGATGGTTTTAAATTATTGGGTCTGTCAGATGGCATAGTTAATTTAAAAACTAATAATACCAGAGAGGTAGACCAGACAGAGAATTCATCCAAGAACTCAAGGAAGGAACCATTTGGCAAGTCTGAGTTTAGTATATTTCAAATTACATCTAATTACTGTAGTGGCAAAATGGGGACAAAATGTCAGAATCAAAATAAAGCAAAACCTTCCAACAGGACAAACTTTCAATTTCCCGTTCAATTCATAATAGCATTAATGTTGCTGTAGCTATAAACTAGTATTAACAGGACTGTGTTCTTTGCATCCAGGAATCAAATGCATCCTGCCTGTCAATTAGCTTTCATTCCTGCTTACCATTCTTGGGACACATTCCCTGCCGTAGTATGAAGCCTGTGATATCTTTAATCTCTAAATTATTATGGCCTGAATCCAAATAATAAATGTAATTTATTTATTTTTTATTATTTTTTTTTTTTACTTATTTATGTGTGTGTGTGTGTGTGTGTGGCCAGCTCAGCCCACCAGGGGGCGGGGCTGGCTGGCATGTGGTGCTGGGGGATTGAACCGCGGTCCCTGTGCTTTGCTAAGCTTGTTCCAAGTAGGTGCTTTAGACCACTGAGCCATCTCACCAGCCCCAATAAATGTAATTCAGCAATCTTCCTTAAATTCATATTTTCTTCTATTCACATGTGCGAGTAAACATTTAGGACATGGTATTTAAATTTTACTCTTAAAATCAGAGTGCTATTTAACAGTTTGCAAAATCTAGGAAACAACATGGTTATACCTCTACATAATATGCAGATATGTCCTACTTAGAGAGATAGGCTTTGATAAGAAATATAATCACAAATGGCCTATTACATTATTACTGATCAAAGGAGACACAACCTTTGTCCTTAATGTATGTCTCCACAGAAAATAGTAAACGCTTTTCAACATAATCTACATGGTGCATAGGTAAGAGTTGACTCTTTTTTTGAAGAGTTGACTCTTAAGGGGACTTAAAAACTCCAGCTCTGGGCTGGCATGATAGCTCAGCAGACTAAGTGCCTGCTTAAGTAAGCCAGAGACCAGGATTAGATCCCTGGTACCACATGCCATGCCTACCCCGCCTCTGGGCATGCTGAGCCTGCCACAGAGACTGGGTGTGTGGTGCAGCCTGTAATCCCAGTGGTAAGGAGGCTGAGACAGGAGGATCACTGTGAGTCACAGCTGCATAGTGAGACCCTGTATCAAAATACATTAAAAAAAGAAAAAGAAAAAACAAAAAAATCACTCCGGTTCTGTTTAATTATAGGACTCATAAGTGACTTTGAGTTCATTTGTGTTGGTTTGTAGGTGAGATAAGCTATGTGCATGATATCAACATTCTTAAAGCTAGAGGGTATAAAAATTGACCTCTAGAAAATGTGCACCCCACCCCCTTCTAGTCAGTTCCTCAGTTTGCTTCCTTTCCAGCTAAGACTGGGCCCAAGTGTTATTTTTCAGTCGCTTGGTTTCTGAGCCTCACACTTCCCATGCTTACCATCAAGGCGCAGGTAAAGGAAGTTCCGGAAAGCAAAGTAATCCTCCATGATGGTCATGAGAGACGTCATCTGGCAGAAAAGCAGCACGCGGTGGTTAGTCGCTCTCAGTTTGGGCAGAATACGATCAAGTAGCTCAAACTTCCCTGAGGCCCGATACAGCTCAGCCCTGAACCCAAAAATGCAAAATGAGAAGACAGTATTACTCCTGTCTTCCTGAAGGATCCAGTACCGCTCTGAAGTTTTTGCACAGTGCCTCACCGATAGTAAACAGTCAGTAAGAACTGTAAACCAACTACAAAGCAATGGGGATGTTTATTGAAGAAGGAAAATATATTTATTCTAAAACCCATAAACAGTAAATCTTCCATGCTAGGTTGATGACAGATACTAGAAAACAAGGAAAGCTTTTGTGTGTTTAATACTTTTCAGGGTCTCACTCAACTTTTTCTCTCTTTGCATTTATGTCCCTACTATTAAGTCTATAAAATTGTTAATTTAGGGTATTCACAAATCACTCAAATTCTTATTGAGCATCTGCCATGTACCAAGCACAATACTGGGCATGTCTGTACTGATCCAGAAAATCCATGATGGCAAACTGTGGTAAATACTATAAAGAAAAATACTAAGTTACAATAAGAGAACTCATATACAATAAGAGGACTCACTTGCCAATCTCTGTAGATTAGAGTGAGGTTTGGCAAACTTTGGCTCTGGTCTGTTGCCTTGTTGTAAATAAAGTTGAATCAAAACACAGCTATGCTCACTCACTGAGGTCTAGCCTGGCCAAACTGGGCAGGTGTCGTACATTTTACAGCCATAAAGCTGAGTAGTGTGATCTGAACTCTTTGTAGAAAAAGTGTGCCCATCACTTGTTTAGGGCAGGAAAGATAATCTTCTGGAAGAGCTACTACTATTCCTTGAGAGAATGAGTTAAATGGCATCCCGGTGAACACAGAGGGGTGGGATAGAGACAAGATTCTAGGGAAAGAACAGAGCCTGCACCAACGCTGAGGAAAGGAGGCAGGTAAATGTGAGAACACAGTTGGTGAGGGTGTTTAACATGAAGGGAGGGGGACACTGGCCCAGGAGGACAGAGAGGGAGGAGGCGACAGGAGCTCCACTGGCTTCACTGTACATTCTGGTTTTCAGCGCGATGCAAACCAAGATGTGTTTTATACAGAGCAGTGACAAGGCCCGCCATGCCTTTTACATGTCACCTTGGACACTGTGTACAGCAGCCTGAGGAGAGGACTAGAACCCTGTCTCCCTGCAGCAGTGCCAGGCAAACATATGATGGTAACTGGTGGAGATGATGCTATTGTATAGAGAGAGAAAGGCTAAAGCAGGGCTCTTTGGCACATTTCACTATTTTCTTCCATCGGTATACATTACACATTATTACAGCTTAGTTTTAGGGTTGCTATTGGTTAGAGATCTTGCCAGCGTACATGCAGCCCACAGCACTGAAATGTAGCACTGGGTCACTGAATGTATGTCACAGTGCATACTGTTTCTAACAAACACATTTTCAAGTATATGTCTTCCTGCTGTCCAGCCCCTGCTCTGAGAACTGTCCCCTAGAGAACCCCTCATGCCCTGTTTCCATCCTGCAACACTGGTCAGGCTGCTGGGAGCAGAGATGACCATCGGACCCAGGAGGAAGTGAAGTAAGGAGAGGGAAGAAAGTTCATTGGCATCGCTTTGCCATGGGCTACAGGCCCTCCTCTTGCCCAGTAACTGTCTGCCTCTGGGATCCAGCCAGTACCCCTCTATCCAAATAATACATCTTCCTCACTATAAAACAAACACAGCAGACTTTCTGCTAATGTAAGCTTCATCTTTTATTGTTGCAAAACATGATTCTCTTTAATGCTCACTGCTAGTAAAGCCCCTTCTTATGTAGAGGCCATATCTGTAACCCATGACTGTGAAATTGTACGCAGTTATAAGAAATGAGACATTTCCTCCCAGGCACATGAATGTTAAGGATCAATGTGAAATTCTGTAAGATAAACTCTGTTCAAGCCCAAGCTACACCTTTTTTTTTTTGAGGTACCGGGGATTGAACTCATGACCCTGCGCTTGCCAGACAAGCACTTATTCTACTGAGCTATCTCCCAGGCCCTGTACACCTTTGGTTAGAACTGAAAACCCCCAGACTTCAGCAACCTTCTAGAACTTCAAGATACTGTTAGGTCTGTCAAGTGAAAACTATGTCTTCTGAGTAGCTACTTGCTAAGGACAGGGAGTAATTTATGCCAGAAAGTAAAAGGAGAATGTTGGTATCGCTTCAGTTATTACTTTGGGCCTTCCACTGAGAAGCAAAAAGGGCTAAGGGGAGCACAGTCTTACTGGAAGGATAGAAAATACTTTCCAAGGAGTTCAGGTAGGAAAAATAATATTATATTTCAGAAGAAAAAAATAGATTTACCCATTGATGACCCCATTTGAATAGCCCAGGTGTTCAGCAAAGGATTCCTTTAAAAGAGAGAGAGAGAGAGAGAGAGAGAATAAAGTCAATTTAAAAATGCAATTATTAACTTAATGGTTTCTCTTTTAGCAAGGTCACCCTACGTATTTTAGAGAATAAAGGAAACAAAATAAGAAAACACTCATAGTTGACTGGACCAGAAACTCAGTGTCTTTGAAGTTGTATTTTTGTCCCACCAGAATGGAGGTTGTGGTTGTCTTTGTCCCTGGTCTCCCAGATGACAGTCTGACAGTGACCGAACATTTGTTGAACCAGGGTGGAACCTGTACTTTTTCCCAGGGACTAGTCCACAAAAAGAGTTCAGAGTCTAGGCTAAATAAGCCCCAAATCACACTACCATCAATGTGTAGCTTCCTGTTAAAACACAAACTTAATGACTTAGCTCCTTCCTTACTGATTCAGAGGGAGAAATGTTGGACTGTTCTCCGAGTTTTTCTATTTCCACTTTATGGAGCCAGACTTGAGGGGCGAGGAGGGCAGCATGCTTTCACGTTAGCCACCAGCCTTCCCTTTTCTGCTTCTTTCCTCAATGCAGTCTTTACTTAAAGGGGACCAAATCTTTCCCTTTGGGCTCTGCTCTCAAATCTGCCCAATACTGGGGGCAGGTATGAGCCCCTCAGAACACTATGCAGTGGCAGAACTGACACAGAAGGACAATGACCAACACCCACTCTGCCTTCTGGAACCAGGCTTCTGCCCTCTATGTGGAGATCCCTTACTACATTTTTAGGTTCTCCCACTATCTAGAAGCACAGCTTAGAAAGCAAAACCAACATGATGTGTTCATGGATTGGATAAGATCAGGCTTCAGCATCATTTAAAACACAGTGCTTCCATTTCTCCAGATTGAGGGTTCCCAGCGAGGCAGGGAGAACAATCAAGACTGAACTTCTGGATTGATCTGGTATCAGCAAAGGACTGTGCAGCAAACAGAACAGAACAAAGGCACACAGCATCTCAGGCCCACAGTTGCCAATGGATTCGCCAGTAATGGCGGGACTCTCATTTCTAAGAGTAAACTCCTCAAAGCTTGCTATGTCAGGACAAGTGAAAATTGAAGCCTGCCTGTCTACTAATTGCTGCTTAATGTATAGGTAGGCAGGCTGTGGCAGGCATGCTCCTTATCTTAGCTTCCCTATGACCCCCAAGGCCTGCCGGTGCTCCCGACAGAAGTTGGAGAAGACATGCTCTATCCCTTCCTTCCTGACAGGGCCCAGCATGTTTCCAAGGTGATTTTTTTTTTTTTTTTTCTTTTTCTTTCTTTCTTTCTTTCTTTTTTTTTTTTTTTGTGGAACCGGGGATTGAACTCAGACCCTTGCATTTGTCAAGGAAGTGCTTACTCTACTGAGCCATCTCCCCCGCCCCTTCCAAGGTGAATTTTTTTACAATATCCAAAATACAATAAGGCAGATGCTTCATTTTAAAAAAATTTTTGAAGTCCCACAAAACCTTCTATAGCTCAGATTAAATGACTTAAAACTGTCTCCCAAAAAAATGGAATGGTGGACGAGAGGACCCCAATCCTTCTCCTCCTTATTCATTTTCCCCAGCTCCTCTAGCCCAGCATACACCCAGCGCAGAGTCACTAACACCCTATATCTCCTTAACATTAATTTACAAAATGCTCCATGTATTATTATTTAAAAGTTAACCTACCTGCCAGTCTCGTGATCAAATATTATTCTCTCACTACAAATTATGCAAACTACAGCCTGGGGACTCTGAATGACTTACTCCAAGGAGTGTCAGGGTGCCCAAGTGGCCTGTGACCTGGATCTATCTATATCCAATACCTGTTGTTTGTCTGCGTGAATTTTTAAGCATCATTTCTGCTGTCATTTCACCTGTGTCTGTAGACAAACTCCCACTTTCTATTAATAGGGCTTCAAGTCTCCTGGGCGGCCCTCTGTGACAGCGGAGGCACCTTCTGTGTCCACGGATTCTTGCCTTTACCCACGCAAACTCCCTTATGCACAGACATGCTCCCTGTGTCCCTGCGTGTTCTCTCCAAGGTCCTCTGTACACACAGATACTCTCCTGTGGCTCTGAAGGCTTCAGTGTTCTACCCTGTGTCTAGGTTGCCCTCACCTGTGTCAATCCGCGTTCTCCCCTCTGTCACAGACACTCTCCCCTGGCTCACAGAACGCTCCTCAACAGCTTAGGACACGTCTCCCTTAGATGAGTAAACACTCTCCTGCATCCATAGATACCTTCCCGTGTCTACTGATACTTTCCCCAGGTCTAAGGAGACGCTTAGGTTGACAGATGCTACAATCTAGGTGCACAGAGACACTTCCCTGTGTCCCAGATGCTCTTGCCTGTGTCTCCAGATCTACTCTCCCATCTCCATGGCTACGCTCTCTCAAGGACAAGAAGGCTAAGGCAGAGCTGGAAGGCTAAACACTCAGCATAGTTGACACAGGACTAGAATGTGGGCAGGGTGTGAAATAATTACCCTGACCTACAGGCACGATTGCCCAAAATAAGGAGGGAAGAAAGAATATGCAAAATTAAAAGTACTTCCATATTTTTGCTGTGATTAAGTTTTGATTTTATACAAGCTTCTCTTTATTGTTATAAAACTAACTGGAAGGGCCAGGGAGATGGCTCAGTGGAATAAGCACTTCCCTGGCAAGTGCAAGGGTCTGAGTTCAATCCCTGGTTCCGCCAAAATAAATAAATAAATTAATTAAAATAAAACCAACTGGAGCGGACACTGGAGCCCTGCAGTGAATTTCCCCTAACTTGCTGAATTTGCAGTAGAGATCAGGCCCTGTCCTGGCAAACAATCGCCCTCGGGCTCACGTGCTCTTGCAGCACCACTGAAAAAGGGACTGGATGACCACAGTGCCTTCTCACTCCTGCGCCAGTCACGTGTCCATCCTGGAGCCAGGCAAACTTGTCACATGCAGAGAACAGAGCAGAGCACGTCCTCTCCCTACATCCAGCTCTGGGGACCTGAGCATCAGAATGAGAGCCCCGATTTGCATCGGCACCATCACGGTAGAAGCAAAACAGGAAACATATAATCTAAGTGACAGACTGAAGCCGGTGTCTTTCACAAGCAAAACATTAAAAGGACATCTTTCTCTTCACTATTTATACATTATTTTAATATTATTCATAGCATCTTTCCAAGGAAGCTGGGCGCATTTGTCATTATCTTCAATTTCAGAGCTTCTACCATAACAAGGTAATTCATAGTACTTACTGAAACCCACATCATCAGCCTTGCCGGGTCCATTTTCTCACTACTTTAAACTTTTAGTTATAAAATTCCAGATGCCCAGGTGCTTGGGGACGATGCTGACTCCCACCCAAAAGTCATGTTTGCTAATTCTACTTGGAGACAGATCAGATCATGATGTTTCGAGGTGTATGCTCATCCTTTATATCTATTTTACTTTTTTGCTTTTGTTTTATGAGCTTAGTAAGGTTACCATAATCAGGATCCAAGCACCGGCTACTGGCTTACCTCAATGTGTTGAAACATATAAGGATGATTGCAGATTTTTCTCAGCTGCATGATAGTGTTCATGAGTGTCTTTGCCCCTCCTTTCCCCTGAGAATAAATGAAAAGAGACAAATAAAACTATCCATTGATCAAATATTTCCAAGTTTTAAAAACTAAGCTTTCTCAAAACGAGTTCAGGCGAGGGTTTATTCAGCTCAGTGGAAGAACTTGCTAGCATATGCCAAGTCGGGGCCTCAAATTCTAGCACCACCAACCAATCAATTAATCAATCAACTAATCAATAAAAGCCTTCTTATGGAAAGGACAAAGGGCTGTTGGTCTCCTCAGTTTCCTTTACACCCTGTAGTCTAAAGTTCCTTTTTTTTTTTCTGAGTTACATAAAACATCTTCTTAAGGTACACTGTCCTCCCAAAAAAGTGAATCTTGAAGAATCATGTCAACTTGTAAGCTTCATGACATGACTCTCTACTCCCTAGGGTCCTGGAAGACAGACCGTAGAACAGATGTCCTCGGAGTGAAATACATTTTAAAACTTTCTAAAATGCCACGCGACACTGCGGCAGACTGTGTTTTCTGCAGCACCGATGTGAGCAGAGCTGTCTTTTGGTAACAAGAATGTGCTCCCTCTTCCCTTCTGCCCCAAAGCAGGTAGCAGGTGGAGAAGTTTGGGGCAGCTGTGAGAGCTACAGAAAGGTCCAGTCATTTGCTTTCATGAGGTGGCATTAGCAGAGAGGCTTCCTGGCAAAGGTCAACATCACAGCACTAGAAGTCGTGTCCTGGTCCCTGTAGACGCACTGGCTTTCGCATCATACCTTCTTATCTTTCTCAGAACCGTCTGTGAGCAGGATACCCTTGGCTTGCATATGGCGGTAGAGAATCTTCTGCAGAGCTGACATGTCACACTTGATCACATATTCAACCTGGGGGAAGAGAACAGGAGGCAGGTAGGAGCAGGAGGCGGAAGTTCTGTTTCAAGACAACTGTGGAGACACAGCTGCTGGCAGCACTCCTGGAATCACAGAGGCACCTGTTCCCCCTTCTTGGATGCAGGGGTGATGGATAGGACAGGGTTATAGAAGAAACTATGAGCTCACTGTTAAAGATGCCGGGATGACGGTGAGATCTTTAAGAAGCTATATGAGGCTAAACCTCAGGCCCTGTTTTCTAAAATTTGGTAACTTGGTTCTATATTTGAAGGAGACTGGTTTACTGACTGCTCCCATTCAAAACTGACCAACAGAGATGTCTCCCAATGTCTGCATTCCTTCCTCTTCTCTGCTATTGTGCACCCCCTTTTACATGAACAGGACAGTTTTAGAAAAAAGCAGCAGCTGTCCTATGTTCACTTATTTTTTTTTCCACAGAACATTTTTTACTTGGTCGTGGGTAAGTGCCTGCACTATGAATCTCCATTAAAGTAAGACTTATAGCGGGCCGAGGGTGACTGTCAGCAGCCTCTACGCCTGACAAATGACAGCATACAATGCAGTGAGCCTCACAGTTGGCAGGGAAGAACTGATCCCAATTGGACGGAACTTTACAGCCATCGACCATAGGACAAGCCTCCTGTACTTGCTACCGAAATACTGCGAAGTCCGAGGAAAAGCAGCTGCGGGGAGCTCACTGGCCAATCTCACCACACACCTGCAACGCTGCATCACACCGCTACTGCAGAAAAGCGGCCTTATTTCCTCTGTTTTGTTTTATTCAAAATTCCAAGCATACAAATGTGTAATTTTCATAATAAACATCAGATTAATGTCTAAAAATATGCAGAATAGGATTAAAAATAGCTCAGGGAGCTGCCAACGTTTAATAAACTGATTTGGAATGAGCAGGTTAAAAAAAAATGATCAGGTTATTTTTAGCTCAAAGGGCCAGAAAGAAGAGGTCAGAGATGAAGAGAGGTAAAGTGTTCACTCATTTTTTGCTTTAGAAGGAACCTGTATGGCCAGAGCAAACAACTTGCTTTGCTTAACCAAGTCCAACTAGAGAGGGCTTGCTCTTTTTCTTTTTCTTTTTCTTTTTTTTTTTATTTTCTGGTAATGGGGATCAAACTCAGGACCTTGTGCTTTCCAGGCAGGTGTTTAAGCTGCTGAGCTATCTCCCCGGCTCTAAGGCTTGCTATTTTTGCAGAAAGGAAGATCAAGTAATCCACAAAAACTTTGCTTTAGTTTATATTGACTTTGTAGGGAAGAAAAGCAATCCTAAAATTTTGATAAGCACACACTGGGTACACATTTTGCATTTGACATATTTGATTATGCTATGTTTTAAGTATCACTGTTTTTTTAAATGCTTACTTTTGCAAATTTCCAGAGGTAGAACTGACAAAAATTACATAAAGGATACAAAGTGACTATGTGACTATATGAGTTTGATGTACATAGGAATTATGAAATGATTACTACTCTCCTACTTTCTCAAGAATTCTCAATTCTCATGGCAAAAAAATTAAAAAAAAAAACAACCCAAAACACTTTAAAAGGAACTTTAGACTTTTTACCAAGTAGGGTGGTAAAATGACACCCAGGGCTCTATCCATTTCAGGTCCTGTGTGAAACATTTCCCTACTTTTTCTCCTTTACCCCAGACTAGAGCTCCAATGGGACAGTCACATCTAGCCTTTGTGTTTTATAGACAAAGACTTGAAGGTGAATCTACTGGGTCAAAGCCATCAGGGAATGGTGAAGTTAAGATTTTAAACAGAGCCCGTCTTCATAAGGCGCCCACTGAGGGTTACCAAAGAGCTTTCCAGGCTTCCTAACTGGCCCACACTCACCTTCCCCTGGGCCTCCCTGCTGCCTCCCTTTCACTTTGCTGAAGGTGGAGGAGATGAGGGACGCTTGCCCTAAGGTGCACTAGGGGATGGCAGACCCAGAATTAAAGACAGAATGCTCCCTCCCTCCCTGCCAGCAAGTTAGTGCTAAAAGCAGAAGGACTAGAGCTTGGGGAGCAGGAGGTATGTGGGTTCCCTGGAGACGACAGGCCGAGCATCCTCACTACGGCCATGTCAGCAGAAAGATAAGCTCCTCTGGAGGCCCCAAAAGCTATTCTTGGGAGGTGGCAGCAGCCTATGCCTCTTTTTTACCATGACTGTGGGGTGACAGGAGCTAGTTTTATACACATGACAATCTTTCTGTTTGAGACAGGGTCTCAGTCTATAGCTCAGGCTGGCCTGGAGTTCACTGTGCAACCCAGGCTGCTCTCCAACTCAGCGATCCTCCTGCCTCAGCCTGCGAAGTGCAGGGATTACAGTTTCCTGCTAGGGTGACAGGTGTGTACCACCACACCCAGTTTGATAATCACTGTCATAGTCTCACAACTGCATTTTCCATTTGCTCCAGGAACTTCCTCAAGTAAATCCAAACTACTCTGCTTTATCTTTTTTTTTTAATAAACTAGCATGGGCTTAGTCGTAGGGCTTCTTTCTAAATCCAACTATATTTGCAGGCTCTTTGTAACATCTCCAATCACCCAAGAAGTGAGAGATCTTCCCTCTCACTTCCCTCAAGCAAGCTGGTCAAGGCCTTTCCTTCGAAGGAAGACACGCCACAGCACATCTTCCTCATACATATCTGGGGTTGAAGGAAACTCACACACAGCCTCCAAAAGGCAGAAGGCAAATGCACCAGCCAGCATGTGTGCTTGGACAGCTGATCCTCCAAGCAGTGCGAGCCCCTGCTACATCCTAGTCTAGCCCAGGCATATAACTTTCTGACATACACACACCATGTGGGGACCAGTGTCAGTTTGCACATTAAACAGCAAAAGAGATTGGCTTTTTTTAAAGAGAAAAATAAATTTGCATGTTTGTTCCAACATTACTCTGCTCCCCAGGGGATATTTATTTTTATATTTTGTGCAGGGTCTCACTACACAGCTCGGACTCAGTGATCTTCTTTTCAGCCTCCCCAGTGCTGGGATTACAGGTGGTGGTTAATCTACTGGGCCAAAGCCATTGTGCAATGATGAAGTTAAGATTTAAAACAAAGTCCATTTTTATAAGGTGCCCACTAAGGGTGACCAAGGTGTGGTTTTTCTGCACCCACCACACCCAGTCTTAGTGGCCAGCTCAGCATGCCTGGGGATGGGGCCAGCATGGCATGTGGTGCTGGGGATCGAACTCTGGACCCTGAGCTTGCTTAAGCGTGCGCTTAGTCCACTGAGCTAGCTCACCAGCCCTCCCCCAGGGGATTGTTAGCAGGAACTCCCCTTGGATATATCCCTATGTACACACTTTGGAGGGTCCAGGCCTAAAGCATCTGAGTGTCTGGATTATTACTGTTGGCAGGTCAGAAGATGTTACTCTCCGCTGCCCATAAGCATTTTGTGTGAACAGACCTCATCTCCAAGGCCAAGCTTCATAGCCTGTACCACCCTCCCTTCCATTTCTGGGGTTGCCCCTATACCTTCTACCGAACATGAGAACAGGAGAAAGCAGAGCGCAAGGCGAGAACAGGTGTGGACTGAGAAAAGGAGCCGACGCAATGATCCTACTGGAGACGCACAGAGCAACAGAAACAAAGTGGGAGGAGCTTCCACAATGGTGCCAGCTGCACCCCAGTGGGGTCTGAGTCCAGTCCCCTAAGATGTGACGGTGCCTCGTTACAGTATGAATGAGATAGCCCCTCAAGGTCTGCGAGCCCTTCAGGAAGGGACTTCTTGGCAGAAATAATTCCCCCAAGAAGTTAGGCATGAGAGATTTGTTCAAGTAATAAAGTAATTACCTGCTAAACACTTGATTAATAAACAGACTGACTCCTATAAGCGGGCCAATTTGGCAGTCACACTGGCCAAGAATTCTTCTCATAGAGCAGTAGAAGCACCTGAGGTCTATTCATAGTTTCTGCCTGCATGCTGTCCTCCTTTTACAATTTCTGCTCTAAAGAGGCAGATTATTGGAACAATGACCCTTGGCTACTATATATGATACTCAGTATGGCCACTCTGTGAACTGAGATTTTTAAACAATAAGATTCAATTAATGAAAGTCTCAGGTTCTGGAACCTGTGTCATGAGAGAGGAACAATGGCAATGATTAATCCTATTAAGCATTCAAAACTTTTATATAAAGAATACAAAACTGTTCATTGAAAGAAATCTCTTTGTAGTATCATATGCAAATTATATCAAAATCAGGAGAGATTTTAGGTAGTCCGACCTCTTTCTTGTGAAGCTCACATTATGTACATATTTTAATAGTCTCGGACATTGACATATACACAGCAGTTTGCATAGTTGGTTCTTGATGATACGAATTAACAAAGTGGAGAGCCAGCAGTGACAACTTTGAACAGGAACTAAGTAAAAAAAAAATCAATTTTCATTTAGCTTAAAATGTTTTCTATAGTCACTTTCTTTATTTTTTAATTATTTAAGAAAGTCTTTATTTATTTATTTGGTACAGGGTCTCACTATGCAGCTCAGACTCATAGTATTCCTCCTGTCTCAGCCTGCCCAGTGCTGGGATGACAGGCGTGCACCACAACACCTGGTTTTGGTGTCTGGCTCGATGTGGGGCTGGCATGGCATAGGGTACCAGGGATCAAACCCAGGTCCTTGTGCTTGCCAGGCAGGGGCTTAGACTGCTGAAATATCTCCCTGGTGGAACTCAGGACCTTGGGCTTACCAGACAGGCATTTAAGCCGCTGAGTTACAGTTGCTTTTTTATGAGCTGGCATTCCTTCCAGTGTACACAGATGAATTTGATGCCAGCAGATTGGTGGTGGTGGTGGTGGTGGTGATTAGACAAAATATATTTCTTTGCTCATTAGATATTTCATTAGTCTAATACTAAAGCTAATTTTCTCATGCCACAGAGATGCATTTACCAAACTGTAGCCTTCCTATATCTGCTTTAGTTTCACCAGAAAGAAATACATATAAAGACACTGTACAGTATTAGATATTAGAGTAATGAAATTAAGATACTATGATACATCTATTAAAATGGCTAAATTTTTTTTGAAACTTCACAATACCAAATACTAATGAAAATGTGGAGCAACTGGAATGTTCTCACCTTGGTAATGTATTTCAAAGCAGTTCAGCAGTACAGAAAACAAAGTCCAAGTTTCTTATAATGCTGGATGGCTGACAGTCCAACTAACCATCATACTCCTAGGTGCTTGCTCAAGTAAAATGAAAAGCGGGCCCAGGGAGATAGCTCAGTAGAATAAGCACTTGCCTGGCAAGCACAGGGTCCCAAGTTCAATCTCCAGTACCGCAAAAAAAAGAAAAA